CCAAAATACATTGAGGGCCTGTTCACACCATCCAATGCGTTCACGGTTCCGTGCCATGAACACACTGGGTCGCCATGTGCCACGAACGCATTGGATGGTGTGAACAGGTCCTAAAAGTTCCCCAATCCATCAGAATGCTTCCTCATAATCCAGTAAAAGTTTCCCCCTAGTTATTGGGCAACCATGAATATATCAAAAGTGCAACTCCATCAGAGGTTCCTCCTAGATCCATCAGAACCTAGTACCTCCCACAAAGTCCACTTTCCCAGAATCCATTGGTCTTCCCTGATTCCATGAGAAGAAAGCCCTCAAAACCCATCCCAGTTTGCACCTGAATCCCTCTCTCTATATATTTATATTGACCTGTGTCATCCGAGCGCCTCGTCTCCGAACATATATATTTCTGTCCACAGCTATATCTACATTGTACATGAGCAGCCCGATCGGTAGTCACAAACAATCACATCTACAGATCATCATCTGTAGACATTCACAACGCAACAGAGGGGAGTGGCTGGGAGGCGGGCTGAAAGGCTGACATGTGACTTAACTTTGCTCCAATAGGCGTCGGCACTCTGTCCCGAGCTGGAGAGGGCGGGGCCAGAAGGCTCATTCAAATCAGCATCTTGCAAGAGAGACACACCGGGGAGAGCGGCGGATGGGGAGCGCTGAGTACCGTGTGCGGGACACCCCCTTTCCCCCTCCACACCGGACACTCTTCCTCCCCCACCCATAAGAACCGGGGGGCAGGGGGTATAGTCCCGGAGTCCCCACCGTTTCAGATAATGGGAGACACACTGGAACCCCAATATCTATGGGGATCTCAGGTGGTAGACTCTCCATAGAACCAGAGCCCCCTAGCCGACTGTTCATCTCCAGCCCTAGATTCCCCATTTGTACATGGGAATAGGGGAACCCCACAGGAGAGGCTGCACCTATCTCTGAGGACCCCTATCCCTGGGCAGCCCCCAGAGGACCTCTGTGTCCTTGGGAGATTGTCTGAGGACCACCCTTATCCCTGAAGACCCCCTCAGCACAGCCAAAGCCCCCC